TTTCACACACACAGACACTTATTTCATACACACACCTGTGTGCGTGTGTGTCCATGAACATCTATACAAATGTTGGTATGTATGTGAGACGTGTATGCGGGTGGTGAGACACTGGCCCAGGTTGCCCAGAGAAGCTGTGGATGCCCCCTCCCTGGAAGTGTTCAAGGCCAGGTTGGACGGGGCTTTGGGCAGCCTGGGCTGGTGGAGGTGTCCCTGCCCATGGCAGGGGTTGGACTGGGGGAGCTTTAAGGTCCCTTCCAACCCAAACCAGTCTGTAATTCTGTGATTCTATGTATGTGCATAATTAAGATTCCACACGAGACATTTTAAATATAAGGGACATCAGAAGGTTTGTCATTATTATCTGATTCACACATCTTAATAAAACCTTTTCTAAAATGCACTTGTTTAAAAACAAGCCCACCTTTGTTTTCAGACAAAGCTCTGCCCTGACAGGCAGCTTGCAACAAGAGGCTGTGCACAGGCCACCTTGCTGACCCCTGAAGCTCACAGTTCCCTCCAGCCACTGACACAGAGGCTGAAATGCTGAACCCGGAGAGAGCAAAGCGTTTAATTAAGGAGTCACCTGAGTTTAGTACATAAGACTCCTCTGGCTGTATTCACTGACATGTAAACAATGGTTTTTATTATCTCATTTGCAATTGACACACTAGTCCCTAAAAGGTATTTGTTTTGAATTTGTTATCATTACATTTTTGTGGAACAGCAAGTCTTGAGAAGAACATCACCATATATGGTAGCATGCATAGACGTACACAGAGGATCCCGACTCTTTATAATTCACGGAGAATTACTAGTTGCAAATCTGTTGGCTTTTCTTTTAAGTATGTTAATTTTCTAAGAAGCCAAGAGCTAGACATAACTTTCCGATTTGTGCAAAGTCCAGTTAAATTTATCCAGTCCAGTTATTTATCAATTCTAATAAACATGCAGAATCTGATTTACTTAATATAATGACATTTGGGTGGTATTTGAAATAGCTGGCATTTTCCAGATGAGGGAAATCTATCCCCACATGATGCAAGTATTTCTTCCTTCTTTTCTAATTTTTACAGTTTATAACACAGGTAATAACCTGGGCCAATTTCTTTGGAGTATTAAAAGGGCTATCAAGTGTTTAACCAGAGTTATGTAGTAGCTTGCATTAACAGAGGCGGGAAGATCCAATAGAAGACCAAGGAACTTGCAGATAATTCAATCAAAGGATATGGGGAAATGCATTGAAAAGCCCCAAACCAAACCAAAACAGCCCTGTGAAATTACTGAAACCGTTTTTTCCTAAAATACAGCTTTTCCCTTATGGCTGAACAACCATAAACTAGTACTGATGACAGCTCCATGTTTAGACGAAAATATCCATGATGAGAGTGAGCATTTGAGGGGTGATCCCAGTGGCCAGGAGGAATTGGTAGTCATGCTCGTGACAGAGCTCACTGTGCTGGGGAACCAGTTCCCAAATGAAGATCGCAGGATTAGCTCAGCTGAGTAATCCAGTCAAGTACTCGAAAAGATAAGCAACCTGTAAAGAACATAGTCAAGAACTACTGTAGCGCAAGGAACACTGTTGGAACTGAGCAGCAGGTTACTGCTATGCTCTCTCACCAACAACTAACTATGAGAGCAGGACTTGGTTCCTGAAAATAATTCACATACTTGATTATATGTTCCTCTGTTCTAATAATTATTCCCTGTCTGGCTGTGATAAGCTTTTACAGTAACACACACATCCTGCAGAGGAATGGAGCAACGTCCTTTATCTTCTCATTAGAAGAACAGCAATCTCTCTAAGCTCTGACTTAGGAGGCAATTCTGCTTGGCCAATAACCTCTTAATTAAAGTGCACTTCCTGGAGATATTTATACTTTGTCTTTGGAATAACATACTCTGGATAAACTGATTGTAAAGGCGGCATTGAACTTCTGTCACTGACACTATAAGGGAAGACAGTGAAGATCAGCTGGATAGCTCTGCAATGGAACAGCCAAAGGAGGAATAGAAAGTGAACTGTGGAAGTATGTGTGCCCGTGTGTACGTGCATATTTGAGCCCTAGACAAGTAGAACAGACAGCTCTACTTCAGTGTAATTTGGCACATTTTTAAGGCAATAAACTTTATTTTCAGTAGTATTTTTGTGATTACTTCTCCTCCTTTTTCTTCTTCCCTTCCTCAGGGTAGCTCACTTCTGAGTATAAGAGTATTCACTCTTGTAGATGATTTGGGCTATCATCTGCCTAAAAGAATGGATGAGAACCTCTTACTACCTCTTGCACAGATGAGAGGTTGGTCTCTGTTTCTCCCAGCCAGCCCTACGGATGAAACCCAGGAACTGGCTAAGGTGGAAATTTTGCCTTCGCAGGGAATGTTCTCAACAGGCAGTAAAGAATCTTTCCCCTTGGCCCATTTCCCCAGTATCAGTCATATGCTGGACCAGTGCATTTCAGTCTTTATCAGAGATGGGCCAGAAGGTTTACAGCCAATTATTAATCAGAAAGCTTCAGCAGCTCACTGGGACAAATCTAGTTGAGTTTATGGAACTCGTCTTCTACCCCTTTTGTTCAGAAACTTTTCTTTAATATTAATACACATTATTTAATATTCATAGATCTATTAAACTATTAATATTCATTAATCCACACTTCATAACTGCATTTTTTTGGCGTTTACTACAGTGGTACTCAGCTGCTACTCAAACTTTATCCTCAGATTTCAGAGGATCAGTAGGAGAATGTAGTAGAATACAGAGAGATCAGCTCTCTGCTTCATGCTGTCATCTGTGGGAGATGTTTATGAATTATCACCTAACAAGGAAAGGAACTTTTCCTTGGTCCTTGGGCAACAAAACAGCAATAGAACTTTTGGGTCATCCCACTGGTGACATGCTTTGTAGCAGTTTTATCTTCGGTCAGGTTTTTAAGAAGAATGGTCAGGATTATTTGGTAGTTTGATTTCCACCATCATTGCTCATGGGCAGACTCAAAGCAGCAGGATTTGACTCTGTGAAGCTCAGCTCTGCAGTTCAGTCTAATTTTTGGTGTTCCTGACAGCAATACCAAATTCCTATTGATTTGGATGTGCTGACACTTGGCACGTAGCCATGGGCAGCACGATCTGACATTTCTGATGCATCAGGATGACCGTATAGCTCTCTGTCCTGGACCCAAGATGGACTGAAATCCTCCCACTCCATTGCCACAGCCATTCCCCCCATGCTGCTGGGGCAGTGGGGTGCAGAACGTGCCTTGCCCATTGCTACCACAGCAGAAGGAAAGGCCACAGCAGGTTCCTGTTGCTCCCCAAGCTCCTGGAGCTGCAGCCCTGGCAATGAGGCAGTGCTCCCTTCATTGCCTGGTGCGTCCGGCTTTGCCTTGCAGCTGCCAGCTGGAAAGCTCAGCCAGAGAGAATACCATCTCCATTATTGGAACTGCACAGCTCTACCAGCCCTCTTGGCAACAAGAAAACATTTTCTGCCTTAATCCACGCAGAGGTCAAATAGTTTCCTCTTGCAGCTCTCTTCCAAGAATCCCCTTGGGAGTGAGCAAAGGGCCACATCCCACAGAGCTCCCTCACAGGGACTCGGCGGCAGCAAGCACTGGGTGGGCTGGTGGTGATGCACAGAGCCAAGCTGTTTGGGTCCATACCACCACGCACATCGCATGTGCATGTGTGTGGATGGCCTGGGTGGATTTTCCTCTTGGGGGTTTCCAGGCAAAGCTGGTGGCTTTCAAACAAGCACACTTAGAGGAAAGCTGTTGTTTTGTTTGGGTTTTGGTGGGGGTTTTTTTTTAGATGAGAAAATTGTCAAGGGAGTTTAAGGAGCTAGGGCATCTAATTTCCACTGCATTTCAGTGGGATATCATCTAACCCTTTTAGGTGCCTCTAAAATCTTAATTTTGTTTTTAAGATTTTAAGCTTTTAAGCTAAGGAGTCCTCTGTTCAGTCCTGTCCTTGTTTAGAGCTGGGTGTCCCCTAGGATGGAGCAGAACACTTATGAAAGCTCCAGCACCATCAGCAAAGCTCTTGCAGCTCCAACAGCCAGAGCAGACAACCAGCTGCCTCCTGGTGCTCTCACTGACAGAGCAGAGACACCCGGCTGCTTTACCCATGACATTGTTTTATCCATGTGCAGCTGCATGACACAGATGCATCATCCTTCCGATCTAAGCATCATGGCTCAGAGTACCTAACAGCTGATGCAATTTCCAGGCTTGTTTTATTTCCTCTCTCTCTCATGTAGTAGATATTTACCCTTCATAAATGATCAGCTCCCACTGTCTGAACCACGGAGAGGAGATAACCCTAAATTACTACTTCACCGGCAGTACTGATAGGCATTTTTTTTTCTGTTTTTTTTTTTTCCTTTTCATTTTTTCTTAATCTTACACTTCTTCAAATGAAATGGTATTAGAATGATTGGAAATAGTCCTTTTCAAGAAAATCTGTTTCTGTCCCTTTTGGAATGCAGCCTGGGAACTGTTCTTTTACCAATTATTTCATTATTGCGCTGGTATTTCAGTATGCACCCAACAGTATTTGGATGATGAGAAATTTTTTATAATCTGAATTAAATTAACTTTGTGATGGGCAAGAGATGAGGCTCCTGGAAGCTGTTTGGCTGGCAGTCTTGATGCAGTCCTGACAGTCTTGTTGCCTTACTTTTCTCTCTGATCTTCAGAGAGATCAAAATATAAACTAAATAAAGTAATAAGCCCAGGTGTCCTCATTTGTTTTAGTGCCAAGAAGCTATTGATTTAGGTGATTTCAGACACAGTAACAAAGGAATGGGAATCTGAACAGAGATACTCCAGGGTATCTAAGCTGGGACCCAAAAGTATCTGCATGGAAGTGTGAGACATGACACAGCACCTATAGTGCTCTTGATCTACTGCATGGCAGATTTGACCAATGTATTTTGCTTGGAACATTTGTCTCCCTTTAAAACAGAATATTTTGCTTCCTCAACAGGTGTCTACTGAGTCAAAATGGCTCAAAAAGTTCTCAGTGATGATGAGAAATTCCTCTTTGTGGACAAAAACTTCATTAACAACCCTCTTGCCCAGGCTGACTGGTCAGCGAAGAGACTGGTTTGGATTCCATCAGAGAAACATGGATTTGAAGCAGCAAGTATCAAGGAAGAGAAAGGGGATGAGGTGACAGTTGAACTGGCAGAAAATGGAAAGAAAGTGACACTGAGCAAGGATGACATCCAGAAGATGAACCCTCCAAAGTTCTCCAAAGTGGAGGATATGGCAGAGCTGACTTGCCTCAATGAAGCCTCAGTGCTGCATAACCTAAGGGAGAGATACTTCTCAGGTTTGATTTATGTAAGTAGAATCAAACCCACATGTGGCATTTCCTATTGCATGCTACCATGTCCTGTCACAAAACAGGTGGATGCCTTCCACTGGCAGGGACACCGCCCTAGCAGTACCACTGCCATGCCATGACTGAGAGGTGGGCACATGCATCACAGACCACGGATTTAGTTCGCTTTATTCCCCATGATTCCTTTTCTTCTTTAATAATTGTTTCTCTACTTAACTAAATGAAAACACATGAAGGTTTCTTCCCCAAAGCTTGCTAATTCTGAAAGGATATCTTTGCTTTGGAAAGTACACTCCAGCAGCTGAGCAACACCTCAGTCCTGCTGCTTTGAAATAAATCAGTCAATAGGGACTTGTGAATTACTTCAGTGTAAACCTGAACAGGTTTCCAGTAACTTGCAAAAAGAACATATAGGAAAGCCAAATCATGCAGTCTTTTTTCAGGCAAAACTCCCACTGAAAGGGAGCTGACAAGTTCTTGTTTGGCAGGTCCTTGAGTAAAACGTTACGTTTGGAGAAACAAGCAAACCCCCCAGAATTAAAGTGAGAGTACTCAACGCTCCAGTGTTACTGAGCCCAAGTCATGCACCCACCAGAACGTTTCTTCTTTGTTGGTCAATTTACAGATCAGACAAACCTGGACAAATTATAACCTGCTCTATCCTTGTGTGAATTAGGGACAAGATTATTCTGCCTTCCAGCCCACACAAGTGTATTAACACAATCATATTTTGACATTAACAACCCTGTAATCTCTCTGCATGCACATTAAGCAAACTCCACAGTAAGAAAGGCCATAAAGTTTCCCTAGAACTTAGCTGTCATCTTGGATTTCACACGGAGGATCTCTACACTGTGCTGCAGAAAAGTAACCTGCTGGTTAAATCTGTGGAAATGGTACTTGCACAACAGCACACTGATGAGTGAAAGGAATTACAGAGTTTAGGTAGCAAGGTTTTGGAAGCAGGAGTAGAACCCTCATTATTAATATGAGAAATGGCAGGAAATGAAGGAGAGAATAAGATCGTTACACATACTGCAACAAAGGAACTATTTAATTGTTATGTGTAACTTTAAAAAGTGAAGCTCGAGATCTTCAGGAATGTGCTAATATGGGCATCATCAAGATTCCTGAAAGAAGGTAAACTTTCCATCTCATCAGTATTTGAGTTTATTGGATTTTAAGTTTGCAGGTGAACATATGGACCTACGTGCTATTATATCAGAACATGCAGCATTAATTACTAAAACGGAATTTGTCTGAAAATGTTCTGGGTTGTAGCAAGATCTAAAAAGAATTCCTAGAAGACAAGAGGGATAAAATGTGTCCAGTTTATTTCTTTGTTGTTGTTCTCAGCAACACTCTGCATAGATGTTCCAGGATTCCAAATATGTTAACTTAGTGGATCTTTTTGTGGAATTTTAGCTTTCTACAGGAAGAGGAAATTCATTTCAAACAGTGGAAAATGCAATTAGAAATCAAATAATTTTTCATAAATGGAAGTGTATCTGAAATTAAGTTTTATTTCTCAAGAGACTACATTTTAAGATGATGGGAAATTAACAGTTATAAATAAACTGTTTTTACTTGTATCACAAGTTATTAGTATTTTCAGTAACAAAAAACCACTTAAAACTGCACAGCCTTAGGCAGTACTGCCTCACTAGATACTGCCAAACCTTTAAAGAAACCAGGGGGCATCTGAACAGAATTTGCGGTTTTGTTCTTATCCACTTGCAAAGCTGACTATAAACACCCATCTGCTGGCTGTGCCACGTAACACCTACATTAAGTTCCTTGGCATCACACACACACAAAGAATATGTGACCTTATCATTTTTCCATTTAGAGCAGCAGTGACACAAATGGAGGTTCCCAATTCTGCTAAAGAAAAAACTCAACTTAGCTGGAAAAAAAAATCTGTTCCTTGCATTTATATTAAATATTATTAAATAAAAAGATTCAGTGGAGAAATTCACAGAGTGACTGTACACTGCAACAACACCTTGGTTTTTTTCTTTATCACGGATAACTAAGAAGGGCAAGAAGTGCATTGCCATGTTTCACATTGCTCAGAACAAACAGAATCTGCCTTGTCCATACACAAATTAGACCAAAAAGTATTAACTAAACCTTAATAAATTAGCAATGCAAATTCAGCAGATTTGAGACTAGAGTTTCTTCTGCCTGTATTCATAGGCACTATGAATTCCCTCTTTGCTGAACAGTGCAAAATGTTTTCTTATATATAGAAAACTATATAAGCATACTGGAACCAGAGGTGGGATTCTTCTGCCCAAATGTAGACATTTACAATGTAGATGTGTGTATTTGTGCTAGTCTGTCTTAAATACGGAATCACAGAATCCCAGAATATGAGGAGTTGGAAGGGCCCTGGAAAGCTCCCCCAGTGCAACCCCTGCCAGAGCAGGATCACCAGAGCAGTCACACAGGAACACGGCCAGGGCTTTGGGTGTCTCCAGAGAAGGAGACTCCACAACCTCTCTGGGCAGCCTGGGCCATGCTCTGGCACCCTCACACTGACAAAGTTTGGCCTCATCTTCAGCTAGAACCTCCTGTGCTCCAGCTTGGGATCATTGCCCCTTGTCCTGGCATTGGCCATCCCAGAGCAGAGCCTGCCTCCTTCCTCCTCACACTCGCCCTTTCCAAATTGATCCCCATGAATGAGGGCACCCCTCAGCAGTTTGAATGTCTCTAGGGAAGTGGACTCCACAGCCCCTCTGGGCAGCTTGTTCCAGTGCTCTGTCACCCTCACAGTACCCTCTCTGGGCAGACTGTTCCCCAAGGAGAATGATTTAAAGCACAGAAACTTCAAACCCCCATTTTCCATCACATGCTTGGCCAGCCAGCTCACTTATCTTCAAAACATCACATACATTAATCAGTTTTCCCAAAATCTTTGTAAAACAGATACCTAGAATTACGATCAGTAAAACCAAGAGGTCTTCGTCAACTTTCCCTGAGGTGAGAGAAGGTAGCAGTCCCAGTACAGTCAGAAATGGGGATTCCTGAACTCCATCAGCACAGGCTTTTGCCCTGCCTTAGTCACCTGCCTCTTGTGCCTCAAGTTTAGCTCTTCAGAGGTACGTTATTGTATGCCTGGGTGTGCAAACAGCCCTGCATGTGGCAAGTCAGGCAAACACCTATAAATGTCAGGGAAGGGAGGCCTAAATAATTTCCTGAATTGAAAATTTACTCTCCCATTATTAGTTGAGTGCATGCAGTAAATCTATTTCTACTGAATATAAAGGCCTTGCTATCCTTTCCTGGAGAGCTCTGGTAGTCACTCTGGCATGGCATGGTTATTACCTGCCACTTCTCAAGTGTATTGTCCTCACAGTACTTAATTTGGACACAATTATCATTCTGAACTCCAGCATCAGTGAAAACCCAGCACAGTAATTATCTACTTTCAATGTCAAGGGAATAGCTTGGGGACATCAAGAACCTGCGAAGAGCTTGGTTTTCTTGTTATCCAACATGAGGTGAATGGTAACGTAGTCACAGCCTGTAACAGTGGTCCTAATCACCACCCAGAGCACCCCAGACATTATCCAGCCCAGCATGGAGCGCCCAAACTGCTCCTCACTGCTGGAGGCTGACAGACACTCCTGCTGTGTCTGCTGAACACCATATAAAGCTCAGGCTGTGCTGAGACCGTGTGGCGCCATTCCTGTTATGGTCAGGAAAGGGAAACCCCTGTGCCCAGATGCCACTGTACAGCCCTGCTGTACAATGCTACAGTGCTTCCTATGAGGAAACTGAGGCAGCTCGAGCCAGCCCTGAAATGAAGGCATGGCAGCAGCTGCATGCCACAAAACACTCATTCACACAACATGGCAATAAAAACATCCTTATGCCTACGTTAAAAAGAGCGTAATTTCATTATTTCAGTTTGTTGCTGTTTTAAAACCATTCCAGTTTTTAAAAAACACAGCCATATGCCAGCTTAAATATCCCAATACTCCAGCAGATGGTAATTTTTTTTTTTTTAGATCTTCATTTTTTAAAAAGGAGTTGGACATCCTTGCAAAATGCTTACTTTTAAAGTAACTGTTTGTGATACATGGCTCGCCATCCATCATCATGTGCTATTATTTGTGCTCCCATTTCAGTATCTGGAACATTCCAAGATAAAGGAGAATTTAAAAACCTAACAAAACCTGGATGAACAGCTATCAGCTGGTAGCAAATGTTCTTTTTTCTTTTATATGTATTTATATGAATGCCTTAATTAAACTGTAAACAGAAACCACATTTCTTCCTTAAATATATTACAAAAATAATCATGCAGTAAAGGCATGACTGTTCTGTTAAGACATGTATAGGGAACTGCAGTAATTTTTTTATAAGGACTCTCATCAATAATTGTGGTAATATGGCGTTCATATAATCTTTTTTAAGAAGCCTTCTTCTAACATCAATCCAAGCTTCTTACCTGGGATTTCACTTTACAACATCTGACACCTACCTGAGCAGGGGACATACTCTGGTATGACAACACACATATAAAGAGGTATTATTAAGCATGACACTTGTTACATTATCACAGACGAGTGATTCGTTGTGTACTGAAAATAGCTGAAGTCAAGAAGCTCAAACATCAGATCAAAGTGCGGTGTTTCTATAGACTGCTAAATTCACATACTTCCTGGCAGTTTATTAGAAATGGTTATTTGTACACTTGGAAGGCACCTGTACATGCACATTCAGAAATCGCTGCTTCATTTATTACACTAGGCAGGATAGAAATGTTTGCTAAAATCCTGTTAGTTCAATGTAACCGATCCCTGTGCTTCCCAGACTAGACATGGTGCATAATATTAATGCCAGTTTTTATTTGAATTTCCTTGCAGACTTATTCAGGTCTCTTCTGTGTGGTGATAAATCCGTACAAACAGCTGCCAATTTATTCAGAGAAGATCATCGACATGTACAAGGGAAAGAAGAGGCATGAGATGCCACCCCACATCTACGCTATCGCGGACACAGCCTACAGAAGCATGCTACAAGGTAAGCAACTTTTAATGCCACAGTTCTTGGAAATCACTGCATGGTAATGTGGGAGAAAACACCTGATAACTCCACATTGGCTCCTGCAAGGAGCACAGCCAGAAAAGCTCTGTCACAGAGGGTGATGCAAGCTTTCTAGAAGTTTCAGAGGAATTCTTTGGCAGGAACAGCAGTCCACAAACACTGTGACTCAAAAAGGAAAAGTAATCCTTTTACCCATCTGTGTTGAGGCACGTGGGAAGGTTTCAAAGTCAAGCAAATAGTTTTGGCAAATATGGGCATGGAAAATGCTCCCTCTCCACCAGTGGGGACTATTCTGAAGTTAGCTGATGTACTGCTCGATCCATCAGCATTCTCTCACTTTCTCTCTTTCTCTCTCTCTCTCTCCTCTAGCAAAGCAAATTCAAATAATGTTTTGGGGCTTCTTTTGTTACAGTCCAATGCTCCGGAGCCCCGAGTTGAGATGTGCTCTCTTTTCTAACAATAATGGCAATGAGCAGCAATGGGAAAGCAGTCAGGCCCCAAATGGTGCAAACAGAACCTTTGAAATTCACAGTGCTCTTCTCCTCCTGCAGTCACTACTGACAGACTGGGGGTTGCTCTAAGGAAAAAATCATATTTTAGGGACTAAAAAGCTGTAGTGATGAATGTGTGAGGCTTCAACGCCTACAGACTACAGAGATGCGACTGGTTACCATCTTACTTACAGTGACCTCGGGTGCTCCAGGAAACCAAGGCTCTACAAAATGCTTTGAAATTTAATTGCACTCATTAGGGGCTTGATCCTGCAGAAATTATGGCCAGTTCAGCCAGCTTCACAGGTGTGGCCCGAAAGACTAGGGCTTTCCAGTTTGGACCTTAAGGATTTAAGGCTTATGGGCTTTAGATCTGACTGGTGAAAAAAATCAACAGCATTTCAAAATTTCAGTTTAGCAGCTACATTAGTACCCAGTATTGATTTCTTTGTAGTATTTACATACATACACAATATAGTGATTGCTTCAGAGAAATGAATCCATTCAAAACCACTGCACAACTTAGCTGACTATGCAGGTGAAAGTACACAGTATTGCAGTGCTCCTGTACTCATCCTGCTTGAAATATAAACCTGATGAATTTACTAGAAGTCACAGGTAGTCAGTTTGCCATGTTATAGGTAATTGCTATTTTCTAAACCGAGATTTAGACTAAAATCCTTCCACACAATGAAAAAAACATCAAAGATCACCTTCTCTGTGATAGGCTTCCAGGCAGGCTGCATTGCCTGACCCCAGGCAGACTTCTACTGACTGAAAATACCACTCAAGACCCTGTCATTTTGGTACAAGCTATATATATATATATATATATATATATATATACACACACACACACACACACACACACACACAGAAAATGGTGATTGATATCAAAGGCATCAAAAAAGGTCTTTTCCCCTAAAAAAGAGTCCTGAGTACTCATATGTACTAACTGTAATGCTAACAAAATCCTTAGAAGTTCTAAAGATTAAACTCCTGAAGACTATTTACTTACTTAAGTTGATTACCTAACTGTAACTTCAGTTCCTGACTTAAGAATCTTACATTTTCAGATATGAGTGTTTAATATACAGTTAACTTAATTCTAAACCCAGAGAACTGGGTATTTGCTTTACAGTATCAACCTTTTTTCTTCCCACGGCTTATGTGACATTTCTGTTCTGGAACTATTTCAGTTCCTTTGTTTGAGTACTTCCCAGAAGGCAGAGCTACAGTGCAGCAGAGAAGGATCAGTAAAGCAACAATAAAAGACAACCTGAAAGCAGACCTTCCTCTGTGCTGCAGCACCAGAGTTATTCATTAAGACAAGCATATAAAATATGTTTAGGACTGAGGGGGCAGGTGCTTTTAAAATAATACAGTTCAGTAAATATAATCTTTTATGTAACCACAGTTATAAGAAACTTACTTGACATCAGCTCATCCCCTTAAGCCACAATCCTGTATCTGCCTTCAAAATCACCTCTTGAGCTCTGTGCTGTGCATCCAGCACTGCCCAGGGCTCTGAGCAGGCCCTGCCATCAGAGCAGGTTTTTTTACCTCACATCCCTTACATGAGCAGCCAGCCTCACAAGGAAGCTCTGCAAGAAGTTTCTGGCTCTTGAAGTTCATTAGCAGTGCGCTCCTCATTCAGCTGTGCAGAATACTGCTACTTGTCCCTAAAAATGGTATGGGGAAAAACAGCTAGGAAAGGGCTACAAGCTATCTGCAGGAAAGAGAAAAAACCATAATAATACAGCCTATTTGACAGTACATGAGTTTTCTGCATAACATGAAACCAATATCAGCATAGATCGGCCTAATTCCAGCAGCATAAGGACCTCTTTCACTCTTGCTCTCTCCGACTGCCTCCTGTCCTTCATAACATGCACTTCCAAGAAGCAGTGAAGCTACTGGACCTGGCTTGCACTTGTCTGTGGTCATTAACTGCACCTAGAACAGCCTGGGTTCAGCTGTGACTCCCAGGCTGGGTGCTAGGAGGAGGAGCAGCAAGAGTGCCTGTTTCTTTCTATTCATTTTTTCGGTCCTCATAATGATTTGCTGTCCTCACCGACTCTTGGGGAAGCTTTATGCCTTGTTATTCACATACCCACTTTGCAAGGAATTCTTCTTGTCAGCAGAGAGAAAGGGGAGACTAAGTAGAAAGTAAAGAGGAGAGAATAGATCATCAGCTGAACCTTTACGAGAATGCTCTTCCACTGCCTCCCGTCCTAAACACGCACAGCCAGTCTGGCAGCCAGGGAGCTCTCACATCAGGGCTGGCATCACAAGCCTGGGACATCCAGGCTTCGCTTTTTTATTGACATGCACATGCCATTTTGGAGGTTCTCCACCTCTGAAGAGAGCCCCAGCTGTTTTCAAAGCCGTGCTTTTGTTTGCAAAGATGTACTCATGTTTTGTGCATAAAACTAAAAAAAAACTCAAAATAACTCTAGTTATTCAGCCAAACTGTATTCACATTGGAGTGGTGAAAATGGGCATCAGCATGATTGTGTGTGTGTGCACGCAACATGTATAGACAGAGAGAGTTTCATAGTTTTTTGTAAGCATATTTGCAAATGGAAAATAAACAAAAAGCCTTACTCATAAAGATGGATCAGGGCACTGGATATTTTCCTTGTGAAATTTCAGTACTGCTCCTTATCTAGGAAACTTGCATAGTTTCTTCTTGCCAAAGTAAAATATAGCTTAGATTCATGAGACTGAAGAATTACACTCTGGTACTTCACGACCAGGACCACTTAGCCAAGAGCATTCAGCTTGTTCAGCTGTCTCAGGGACCCTTTATCTTTTTCTTTATCAAGCCTCAGTGTCTGCAGATCGCTGCTCCTATTGCAGGCTCATCATCTGGCAAGCACAGCCCTTTGCATTCTCACTCTCTTCTCTGTTAGCACAAACATCCAGCAAAACAACATGAGCTGTGCACGCTGCACTCTTCCTCTGCTTTTTAGACTTACTTGGTTAATGTATTCATTAGAGATGATGTTAAAGTCCCAAGAAAGTTGTTCTGGTTATAATACTTGGCTATGGTTAACAGAAATCAGATAATTTACTTTCTTCCAAATAGGCAGAAAAGCTGGCATTTCACAGGACATGGGAATGAACTGAAATGTTGGCTGGGCAGACATAAAATCTGCACTTGTTCCAAGAGGTTCTGAGCACCTAAAACCTGTCATGCTGACTCATGCTCAAAACGCGTTGCTTGTTGAATCTTCTGATTCCCACATCACTAATGCAGTTCGATTATTGTGCAGGCACAGACACTGATGCTCATTTCCAGCCAGAAATTTTAGTTGTCTTTAACCTAAAAGACTAAGAGAATATAATATTCCATGAGAGCATTTTGTGTATGCATCTGTCCCCATGAGCTACCACACTGAACGGAGCCCCACTGACTGTCTTTACAGACAAAGTAGCTTACTACAACTACACTTAAAGAATGCAATCATAAAAAATCCCCCTAAGCTTCTGCACCCACCCTTCCCTCCTGCATTTTGGATGAAGTAGCTCCCAGTGGCACCGCTGCCACATGAAGGGCTTGATCCCCTCATTCCATCTCTTGTGCTGACAGCACCAGTCTTCATGTGGTCATGATGCAAAACTGCTGCAAGTGAAAACCACCTTTTAAATTTTGCTGAATTGGTTTTAAGGCAGGTGACTCCCTCCTGGTGTGTGGCTGTATGAATGCTGCAGGTTGCAGCAGCAAGGAGAGGGAAATGTGGGCCATGGAAGAGGAGTTGGAGGTGGGTGGATGACTTTTTCCTGCAGGACTGCCAGTGATGATGGAGCTGAGACACTGGTCCAGTAAGGATGAGTAACTCTGCTGTCTTCTGCCATCTTCCCTGCTGACAGCAAACAGCAAATAAGTGATAAACAACAAATGTGAAAAGTCAGATTATCCGGAGGTAGTAATAGATACAAAGTTTTCATGTGGATGATTAGGATTTATTAAGTGCTTTGTCTATAAATCATCATAGAGAAGATATATTATGGCTTTCTGCAGATTCAAGAAGGTTGGCTATTTTCTGCAAAGCCATTTTTATTCAAGCTTGAGTTAAAGATGGAAAAACAAACAATCTGGTAGTTACTGGGAGGTATGGGAGGGAAACACAGTTCCCAAGATTTTAGAAAATGAGGCTGCTGTGAAAAGCCAACTGTTTACTGTGTTCTCAGCAGACTGTACAGAAATGTCCCCTTTAGGCAGTGTAGTTATTAACAAATGTAAAGAAGCAGTGAGCGAGTGTTGGAACATGGTTTCAGTCTGTTTTTTTCCTTTTATGGTAAAGCTGCCAACTTGCTGCTTCATTGTAATAAACCATCTGATTTTGTTTGTGATTAAGCAGAGCTAGCTGGACTATCAAGAACAGAGGGACATACGATTCTTACAGGCAATCTGGAGGTGTCTGGTGAAAAAGCTAAGCAATTTCCAGGGAAATAAAAAGGTCAACTGCATGTTAAGGAAGGCATTTAGAATGTAAATGTACATCTCTATACTATTAAAACTTGAGAAGAAAATTTTAAAATGTCCAAAACATTTAATATAGACATACAGAGGGAGAATATGATAGTTTTCCAGGTAGTGTCAATTTTTTTAAAAAAGGCATTAACCAAAAATATATTGGAATCTGGAAGAGATATTTTGTTATTTTTTAAGCTGCAGGAATTATGTTTAAGGTGTTTTACTCGTGCAAGTAATTATCTTCTGATAGATCTACCCAGATAAAGTTGCAGACTCTCAAAATAGGGCACAGTCCTTTCTATACAGAATAAAATATTCCAGAACAGAAATAGGAGCAGTTGAATGGGGACAGCCCTTGAAAGTAAATGCAACCAGTATCTGCAGCTCAGGACATAATAGAACAGGATATGATTTCCTGATATATTTCATTCTTACCATTGCAATTTGTTAAAACTGCTGAAGGACACAGAGGAACATCTGGAATTCTCCTCCATGAATGTGCACAGGAAAGTTTGTCAGCGTGATACTTCACAGATCACGCTGCAAAGTTCAGCAACACAGGGCTGAAAGCTTCAAGGCTTCATATGGCTGCTGAAGGGAAGCTAGAAGGGTCCAGGAACCAAGAAAGAAACTTGCAAGAGTGCCGTGGGGTTGTTCACCTACAGAGAACAGGAAAATTGCACAGGTCCAATCCTGGAAGCTTTTCAGGCTACAAGAGAAAGCTGAAAGGAAATAAATAACTTTCCCTCCAAGAACCCCCTCAAGGTGCTACAAGTCAAAGTCACAAAGTGCTGACTCACCAGAAGTCATCCTTGGAGAGCCAGCATCGTGCAGCAGCCTCAACCTCCAATTTGAGTCATCCCAGGACAAGACCCACCAT